GAGTTTTAATATATATTTTCGAAGAAAATGGTACTTTTATAATTACTCAGTACGACTTGACAAAATATTTACATGTAATTTGTGCACGAATATATTCACAAGGTTCACTTATAAAAATATCCGCCAAGGGCAATAAGGAAATTCATATAATTCTCGAATCCGATTTCGGTCACGTGGGCGATTTTATGGTCGAAACACAGTTAACCGTTGAATTCTCCGTTTAACCGATATACATATCAGGTATCTCGCGATTTCTTGAAAAAGATGATTTTTTAAATATTTATAAAGATTTTTAAGATTTGATGAATTAGGTAAATTTTGAGAACGTCAAGTCAAGTGAAGCAAAATCACATTGCTAGATAACAGTTTTTATTTATAATTCGATTTGTAACATATATATTCCACATCGAATGTTAAAATGTTATAGAGTATTTTGAACAAACAAATAGGCAGTCTTAATTTGGAATATTCCAATCGTCAATAAAGAAATATTTTTAAATGGAAGAGGAAATCATTCAATTGATGAAAAGACCGTCGAATGTAAATCGTTATATGCGAAAGTCAGTTGTAGATCAAAGTCCTTGGCCCAGGAGTCACTCACTCGTGGAATTCTCTCTTTCTCTTAATGACAACCTTCTCACAAGATCATTGATCTTGATCTTGAACTTGATCCCTCATCGGTTATTTTTTGCAGATTAAGATCAATCAATAGTAGCTTATATGAATACAGATTATTACTTACTCATAAACAAATTGTGACAGGATCGTTATCCGATCAGAAATCACGAACTTCCCGGAAACTTGTAAGCGTTAATTACAATCACCGATCACATATCTTAGAATTAATAGAATAGATGTATCAAAATTAAATAAATGCAAATATAATGTTTCAAATTTATGATATTCTGTATCATTAAATGTAAAATTCAAAAATGAAATTGGATGTTTTTTATTTAATTGTTTTTTTATCTAATTTATAATTAATTAATTTACAATAAATATAAGAACTATCATGTCTATAATTGCTATATGTTGAAGGGAGTGTATTAAAGCACGAATATTTTTTTATTTATCGCATAACTTTATGTATACTGTACGTAAATCGAAACATTTAATAAACTTATCAATATGTAATATATGTTGGCTGTGCTCAAAATATAATTAAATGTTTACGTAATACGTTTTTGAAGATACGCTTTTGAAGATACCAGGTGACGCGTGTCGAATTAAGACTTCCACAGACTCAAGATGCGAAGAGAATGGTCATCACGGTGAGTCACGAAAGTACGGGATGATGGATGAATATGTGGAGAGGGTGAAGAACTCTCAAGTACGAATCCAGCAAGTTTCTTGTTTACGAAAAAAAGTAGGAAGTCGCGGGAAGGTTCAGAGAACCGGGCCTGATGATCAGGGTTTGATAAAACATTACGACGTTTATACTACCCTTTTTTTTTTCGTACAGTGCACAGCGCTTCAAACCGCGCTGTTAAGGAGCCAGTTGTTCCGTTACGAATACTTACAGCCGAAATTCCGCTGCAATGACGCGACCAGCAAGCGCAGTTCTTTTCCTCTTTCTCTGATTGCATGGGACCAACGAAAGAACAAATATTAATTTGGTATACCAAATAAGAAAAACTCGTCGAGATTCTTTAGTAGATAAAGATTAAATTTAAATTTAAAGAAAGTAAATTTATTTCGAGTAAAAATGTGCTTTACGAGAAAAATAGAATGCATTATGCAACAAATCTTTTATAAAATGCGTTTTTATGAAATATCATTAATAGGTTTTTATAAATAAACGGATATATTTTTATATAATTAAATTTTCTTAGTGTGATTCTGCATTAAAAGTTAAGAAACAATATTAAACGATCGATAATAAAGTAAAACGATAATGTATATACATCTACTTTCGTGCATATATTAATTTAAATTAGATTATCTGTAATCTATGTTATTAACATATTAATATAAATTTATGTATTGATGATATTATAATTCTTTTTTAATCATTTCGATTCATGATAGTACTGTCAAAGTAAAAAGTTATATAAAATGTCAGATTCGATGATAAATACTAACGGATAAAATCCGATTTAATAAGCTCATCACGGAAAAATGTGATGAAATCACATTGAAACAATGAAAAAAATTATTTATTACAAGAGTATCTTTTTAATTCTTTCATTCTTTTCTTTGTTTCCTCTCTTGCTTCATACCTCATAGCATCGATCACTTCTATTTTACGTTTCTCAGCTATGGCTCATGACGTTCAATTACATGAAATAAAATGTTACTTCCGTTACTGACAATCAACGGATACGATTGCCTTGCTATTAGCGACGGTCAATTAACTATACGTATTTTGCATTTTTTTCATTAACACGTCGAC